CAAGGCGTTTCTCGGGACGCTGCGCTCAGAGAGAGAGAGATGATGATGACAATGGTAGACTGACCATGACAACGGTAGCACACTAACAAAAGAGTAATTGTTGCAATAACACCAGCAGTAGAACACGAATGACAACGGCGCTGCTTCGCCTGACAAACACAAAACAACCGTAGATGAACATAATCAATAACAGCCTAACATCATCATCACCGTCATCAACATGATCATCACCATCCTCATCATCAGCAGCATCATCATCAGCACCAGCACCGGTGTCTGCAGCGGCAGCATCTTCGTCATAATCACGATACCTACGCACACTGATTACTAAATTCGTCATCAGTGCCACGATTACATCGTTGGCAAAGCAGAATAATCCTATCCGCGCAATATGAAACGGGGGGGGCCTCCAATTAAAACTCGGAAAGTGTTGTTATTGTTGGGGGTATGCTTATCTCTACCGCCACTTTTGAGGGGTCGTGCTCTTGCTCCTGCCCTGGCTCTTGCTGCCGCGCTGGCTTTCGCTTCTGCTTCTGCTGCATCTCTTACGGCTGTTCCCGCTCTTGCTGTAGCTCCCGCTGGTGCTCCTGCTCTTGCTCTTACTCCCGCTCTCGCTTTTGCTTTGCTCTTGCTGTTGCTCTTGCTCATGCTCCCGCTTTTGCTCTTGCTCCTGCTCTTGCTCTAACTCCTGCTCTTGCTCTTGCTCTTACGGTGCTGTAAGGGTATTTGGAGCCTCGAAACCCTCCCCCTAACTCAGAATAGGCTTGGAAGGGCAGGGATGATTTCAGGAGGATTCGCCCCAATGTGCTATTATTATTAGGGTGTTGTTTAATAACAGCGGGAAGCGATTACCAGCTCAAAAACTTGCTTCAAATCTGCACATATCGACACCACCCATCATGTCACCGCACAGCTGAGTACATTGAAGCGTCGGTGTTTGCTGCTCGGTCGGGAGGACTAATTTGATGAGGGACCTGGATCTTATCATCTCGTATGAAACATAGGTAGCCCGTCGCATGGACACAAAGCGATGGAAAGACGGGGGCTGCCTTCCAGACGACGTGGAATGCATCCGATGCAGACCACACCGAGTGTTCACTCAGCCTCTCCACATACACGCCATGGTTGATGTCCTCAAGACAAGAGTTGGCAAGCAGGATTTGCTTGCCATATATGAACACATCACGGGTCCTCTCTGATCTGCAGATTGGTGGAGCTTGGCTCCAACAGGTCAGTGATCTGCTCCTGCAGCACTCTGCTTCGCTGAGTGAGCCACGATGGCATCATCCCAGTGTCTCAGCCTTGTAGATCTCGAGGTACCTGGTCGTGACCGACTGGAAGACTTGCACGGATTTTTGGCACTCTCAGAAGGGCACGAGCATTTGCAGCTATGCTGAATCGTCCCTCCGGTCTGATTGCGGCGACCTGCTCCAAGCAAGGAAACATTGCATGCTGGAACCGGACCGTGTACAAATTCTGTGCCTATCTCTGAGAAGATGTAGTCCAAGATGCGACACATCAAGCCCCTCAAGACACATGCTGATAAAGAAGATGCAATGGCAACGCTCTGCCACCACTGGCTGGCAGAACTCACTGGCCTTTGCTCACCATTGTGCATAGATTGCACGGACTCCTGGGTTGTGCGCAATGAGACAGAGGCAGCTCGCTTCCTTGCACTCCGCACGACTGCACACAGAAGAGTGTCCCGAGGCCACTACGACTTCTCCTTGCATCGTGTGGGTCTTGCCACTTCCCGTTTGGCCGTAGACATAGATGCTGCCGTTGTACCTGGTCGCTGGAACGACTCGACCAGGGCTTTCCCTTGTTCGAGTTCAGGCTTGGACCCGCTGAGACAAAATTCCGCCACACCAGTGCCAAAGAGTTGAAAAACCTCCGTCTGTGTCGCGGACCTCACACCGCAATTTCTGCAAGTCTTCTGCTTCGCAACAGGCCGCACAGCTGAATGCGAGGGCCCCACTCTCGCAGAACACCGTCAAATGCAAAGCTGCGAGGTGGCTCAGCAAACAACTGCACCTGAGTTTTTTGGCTGCCGGGGTTCCGAGGAGAGGGCCCGGTTCGCAAGCCTCGCAAGCCTGCAAGTGCCTCTTTTCTGCCCGGGTCGGTCACATGGCCTCTTTAACCTCTGAAAGCAACTCGCTGCCTTCCTCACTGTCGTCGGCCTCGACCTGGGATTTCTCCGCTTGCGCTTCAGGGCTCCAAGCCTCCAAGCCACTAAGACACTGGCCTGGTCCAAGAGATCCTCACAAGAGAACAGCACCATCTTCGGGACGGCATAGGACCCAATTCCTCGAATGGTCGCAGTGGATCGAAACTTGCTGCTTCCTCAGGCTGCACGCTCTTGCCTGCTGCAGCCAGGACTGCGAACCCCGGAAGCACGTGACCTTGTGTTACCACATGCCATCTCACAAAGTACAAAGCTTCACTCATCAAGCAGCCGCTAGGTGAGAGACATTCCATTGCCAAGCATTCCAGCTCCAGGTTGTCGTGTACCTTCTTCCAGGCTCCCGGCACGCCCTTTCACAGACGGCAAAACTTTGCCAGCTGGTGACCCAACCGCATGCTGCAGCAATGTTGTCGTGATAGATCAGGAAGTTGGAGAAGATCCAGAACTCGAAGTTCGCCACCGTAACAGCCAGGACGAAGACGTCAAAAGCTGCCCACGCCTGGGCCAGGAACTCTGCCAAGTCACATGTGCTTGAAGTATCTTCAGCATCTACCCTCGTGTCGACGACACAGTACCGTCGCTTATCCTCCAATCTGCTTCGGAGGAGCATCCAGGACATGGCAGACTTTCCAGAGCAGGCCATGCTCGGCTTTCGTCATGGGCACCAGGAGAAGCGCCAGAATGGCACAAAGCAGCAGCAATGGAATAGCCTCAGAGTGGCGACCGGACCGGAGACTTGCGGAGACTTTTCGAACTGAGAGCAGGTCCAGTGTGAAGGTGAAGAAAATGGCTTGAACTGCATGCAAACCACCCTCAGCGTCCGAGTCTGAGAGACTGTCGCTGATCACATATCTATCTACCGAGTGCCTAAGGCTCAAGGTTTCTGCCTGCGCTCCCAATGCGATCCGGCTGCAGATTCTTGGAATCCCGTGGTTAAGAACATGCCCAAGCCGACGAGACTGTACTTCAGATCTCTCTCCTGGTCATCACATGCAGCGCTGCGCTAACTTCATGCCACTTCACAAAGCACGGAATTTGTATACATGCAGCTCACCTCACCCTTGAGAAGCAGGTCGGAAATCGCGCCAGAGACCTGCAAGTCTCAGCAGTACGCCATGTCGATTTAACGAAATGCACAAGGTCATGCAGACAGGCTTATCCAATCAGACATGATGGCATGACACTCGAGTTGTATGCTGAGGCATGACAGCAGCACGGCCTTGTACTCCAAGGATTGCAGAAAAGCTGAAACAACAAGGGAAATGCCAGTAAGAAAGGTCAGCGCCAGCAAAAGGACTGCGCGGCCTGCATGCCAAAACTTGAGGGAGCCATCTGTATTGCTTCACAAATCACGGATGACAAGCCCAGACCAATCAAGTGGCTGTACAATTCATGTGCCTCGAGGGAGCTCACGGCAAAGGCCGTAGCTGACGGGCTCCGACTCGCTGGCAGTTCCACTGATATTTCGGGAACTACTCCGCAACGGCAGAGCTGCTTCCTGCAGGCTTCGCCTCCAGCACGTTCTTTGCGATTCAACTCAGAATGACATGGCATGGAGGCAGACGGATTGCCTGTTTGACTCTGTCGCGATGTGACCGAGAACCAGCGACAACACCGTTGCTATGACGAAGGTGAAGAAGGGAAGCATCGGCACAGGGGTCACTTGCACGGAAACTTCCTGTCACTGCACGATCCACAGGAAGCTGACGTGTTGCAGAACGATGCCGATGCTCCTCTCCGAACCATTTGATGTCAAACGCACACAACGCAAGGATGGCGAGCCATGAGTCGACGAGGCTGTACCTAGGCTGACGTGCTGTTTGGGAAGTTGGGAAGGCAAAAACGACGTAACGAGGGGCTTCCCGTACTCATCCAAGAACAACAGCACTCTGGTGCGTCGTGACCTGGACTCGCAAAGAATTGATTGCTCCCAGCTTAATAAGCAACCAGCTTGATACTGATCGAGAACTGTTCTATAGCTTTTGGAGATTGCTGATCTGAGAGGTGGAGGGAGGAGGGGGGGTGGTTGATACTACATTACTACATCTCTTGGGAAAGGCTGGGTCATTGTTTGCCCGCACATGATGCTTGTCGTACTGTAACGAATCGCCCTCATTGGGCAGGAGTAGCAGTGGTAGTAGTGGTTGTGGTAGTTAGTACAAGTAGTTGGCAGTAGCAGTAGCAGTAGTAGCCGACGCTGAACCCACCCGCATCCTTGTGATCCCAAACCTCAATTCAGATCTTAACCTTACGACTAAAACTGGCCCCAAGCCTTCCCTGACGTTCAGGGGCGAGAGCTGGGTTCTGAAGAAGAATGGAAACCCGTGAAATCCGGATTAAGCCCCAATCACCGGCACACACACACACACACAAATCACTCACCCACGCTCTCAATACGCCAAGAACACCAAACCAAAACACTGCCACAAACAAAACACACTGAAACACTGCCCCTCAGCCCTAAACCTGACCCGAAACAAGTCCCAAACCACCCCTAAACCAGAAGCAGCACGCTATTCAAGGGCATGCCCCTCAATCCTAAACCCACACGCATCTTGACAAAGACCTTAAGACCTGACCTGAAGTGAGAGGACCCAAAGGTGCAATACGCAAGTACAGGGCCAGCGCATGGGCCCGGAGGCAAAATGTCTATTGTCAACTGCAAGGACTAAGCCGCATGTCAGGCATCAAGTACCAGATACCATGGTTCTCCGGCATGCTTTCCCTCACTGCATGCTTTTCTAAAATTTGAGAGCCCACAGGCGATCAGGAATCGCGAGGCGCCAGGAGTAGCACACAGAAACAAAACGTTGCAGGACTCGGGTCTTCTTGGTGTTTAGGATTTCAAAGTTTTCAATCGGGTCATGGGTTTGTCAAAAATGTCAGAAGGATAAACATGAGCGAGCAAGAGAATCCGTCGCAAGTTTGTTCACTTCTTTTCACTTGATACCTGTTGAACAGGCAACTTTGACGAGATTTGTGCTTGGAGGCTTTGGCAGGCACTTGGAGGAAGAGGCGGGATGGACATGATGGACGTAACGCAAGCGGCTAGATGAAGCACAAACAAATTCCGTTTCTGGTGCGAGCCTCGAAGTCGGAGCCAGCCACACGTGCAACAGCAACGCAAGCTTCACGAAAGGCCACACCTGTAGTGCACAGCAGAGAGCTTCCACCGGACAAACCGGAAACGGACAAAACCAAAGCTAAGGCCCCAGCACCGCTAAGTCCAACGATCAAGAGAGCCAGCAGCCAAGCACCTGCCGAGGAGAATCTCCGCCCTTCTGGGTCTTATTCGCGAGTTCACCCAGCTGAAACAAACGGCTCCTGCTGACTGCGGACTTTCGACGAGTTGCCCTATTCGTGTAGACTTGACAAAGACATGACTGACATTGAAGTTGCTACAGTTCGGCACGGTTACAGGATGGCTACACCCACCAGTACTTCCGCTGGGTCGCAAGTGAACCGGCTGCCCAAAGAAACATGGTGCTCTGCATGAGTTTGATGTGATTCCAAGCGTCAATATAGTTATGGGTGACTGAGATTAAGAACTTATCTGAACCTGTCTTGGATTTGTTGTCTTTGCGACCTTGCCCATGACGGAATGGACCCCTTCTTGGCCCGATTCCTCCTCTCGTCTCTCGGTTGGATGCTCCGTGGCCGTTTTGGGCTGCTGCTTTGCGTCTCGCCGATCCTTCTGATTCTCGCGTAGCAAGAGGCACCTCCTCGTAGGCTGTCCCGGGAAAGTGTCAAGACCTGCTTGATCACTCGGCGCTGAGCTAGCTGGCAGATCGCTGCAAACTTCGCCGGGCAACCGAAAAGGAAAAAGCGGGGCCGATCTTCATGCGCTCCGACCCGGCTTGGAAGATCACGTTTATGACCTCACAAGAGCTCTAAGATGCGGTAAGCTCCTCTGTGCCACTCCACGAGGAAACTTGCAAGCCACGGAGCAGTTCCGAGTCCCAAGTCTGAATAGAGGAAAAGGAACATGGTGGCTACCTGCCCCGTACAAATTCTGACGATCGGCAGCTTGCAGCGAACAAAGCTGAGGCCAGGACCAGAAAAAACGGATATCCCGTGGAGAGACCGCGGGGGATGGCTTGGCAGGCTGCCAACGACGATTTGTTGAATAACTGACCTGACTCAAGCACTAAGTCCTGCCTCTGCGCGTCCCACACCACCAGCACACTGGCAAGACCTGCCTTGGTCGCTCCTTTCGGCATGTACCCAAGCCACCACACCAATCCTGAGGTAAGATGCTCACAACTCGCGCAAACCCTCCCTTCGGGAACTGCGCCTGTATTTTGCAACTGCAACTGAGCGACACGGCCAATACCAAAGAAGCGAGCAGGAGAGATATATTGACCACGCCTTTCAGAGACGCTTCAGGCTTGTAGGGCTCAAAATTTCTCAAAAACATGCTCAGGCACTACAAGGCACGGAAAAGGCCTTCGGGTCCGAAGTATACCTCCGTGTTCTGGCACGGCGGGACATTCTCCAGCGTTTGCTGCACCATGTCGTTCAAAGAGTCATGCAGGATGATCGTCGCGGACTTGCAAGGTTTCCGAAAAGAACAATCGAACTGGACCAGGAAAGGCGAAGCATGACTCTTTGGAAAACCTTCATGGTACATCATTGATGTTCATTTGCCTGGAGGATGTGCGGAATCGCTGCTGCATATCCATGGAGAGTTGCCCTGGCTCCGGACTCTTCACTTCATTCGAAGCACGAGACGAGCACATCCCACCTTAGCATTTGAGTCATCGCCACCGCGAGGTCATCTCCAATTGAATGAGAACCGACCATGCCTTGAGGCGATGCTGGTTTCATGTCACATCACGGCACTGAGACTTGTGCCAGGGAAGGGACGAGCCACTGGTATTGCCATATTGTCGATTCTTAGCCTGCCCAAGCTCAAGAATGGCAGCTTCAGAGAGCAGAAGATTCTCGATGGCACCTGCGCAAGGCCACAGGGGCCTCGGGCCCAACGGCTGCACCACGTGCACACGCCACCAGGCATTCCAACTTCTGGAATTGATCCACCTCTAAGGCTCCCAAGGCCTCAGGCGGGATAAACCACGTTTTATTCGACACAGGCATTTCTGATAGTTTGCTGGAAGCTCTGCGGTCGGCCCCACCTCTTGCGAGACCATTGCGAGGATGTCCGACTCTGCGCTGACATTTCCCAAGCCAATTGAAATCTCGAAATGCTCCAAGAGGGGTTCGGCCTGAGCTATCCTAAGCCTAGAAACCCATCCTGCAACGTGACAATCCTTGCGCATAGTGTGTCTTGACTTCTTACCGGTGAGGAAATGCCGCGCAATGCCGCACAGCTGCTTGTTTCGATGAGTCCCGAGATACCGATTCCAACTGTGCCTGGAAACTGAGCAACATGTTCGACCAACAGTGCAGCAACCGGTTCGAATAGCCTGGATTTTTGCACTGAACCGTAGGTCGCTGAATGCAGCTGTCGATGTCAAAGTCGGACCAGCTCCACGCACGTCCAAGCTGCCCTCGACGAAGCTGTCCTCAGGGACTCGTCTGCGAAAACTACTCTCATGTATCTTCCGTGAAACCACTCGGCATCTTCTGCATGCGAATCCCGGTCAATAGTATCACACATGCACGCAGGAAGTGGCAAAACATCGAGATGACCTGAGGTCTGAGCCATGCCGGCCACTGTCAGCTCCTGGCCAAGAGGAACGACATGCAACAGGAACGGGACTGGCAATGCAATGCCTGTTCCGCAGCTCCAAGGAACATCATTGAGGTTTTGCAAAGCTTGTAGGCTGATGAGCTCAGATTCCGGAGAAAGACGTCAGCCGACAAGTCGCAGAAGCAATCAGGAGGATGTGCAATACTCGATCCCATGAATGTTGGGTCTTCCTAGTGTTTCAAGGGATCCTCCTGCTCCAACCTGACAGGTGCTGGCAGTGGAAATGCAACACAGGCCTCACACTCTAACAAATACATCGACACATCTGTCCACTATACCCGATCATTGTAGTATCATTGCTGGATCCGTTAGTGAGCTCATCGGCTCTAGAAGGGCAGACTGGGCCGACGGTTCCTGCAGGTAGCTGCGAAACGTTGTTCCCAAAGCATCGACTGTAAGGCTCCGATTGATGTGCAGCTGGTCCAGAGGCACCTCGGGCAAAAAGAGCTGTGCCACGACATGCCACGACCTAGACCCGAAGCTAGGCCTTCTGCGCTGGCACTCGCCTGACGAGATCCGCCACGACACCTGCCCGCAAGGAAAAGAGAACTGTCGCCTCTCGTCTTCATTTCATGTTTGCTGCAGAGGCCTGGTTTGCTCTTGATCAGCGAGCGCAGGAGGCGAGCAGGTGGATAAGTGGCCCAGTCAACAACATCTCGGCAATGGACGCGATTGTAGAAATTGCTACAATACTACAAGAACCTATTGCGAAAGCTGAGCAGCAGACTGCCAACAGGAGTTGGTGGCGACGGTAACTTCTCATGACCTACTAGCCCCTTGCTAGGCGGCCAGCATAGGGAGAGACCCGGGGCCGTGCAAGCGACGCTGTAGCTAAGTGCAGGGAAATGTCGACCCTGCCTGCTAGCAGTGGTTCCATCTGCGTCAGTACAGAAGCCAAAGCTGCTGTGGCCTTTCGCAAGCTCTGCATCTCCGGTCTCGGCAAATAAGCAACAGACATGCGACTTCTCCAAAACGACTTTGGTCAACCTGCGCTTCCAGTAGTGGTGGTATCTGCGCACATGCCACGCTCGGTAGCTCCTTGCCACAAGCTCATCGATTATCCTAGCCCAGCCGCAACAAGACGACTCGGGCCTGGTTCACAAACTGCTGCAAGGCAGGCTCAAGCTGAGTCAACGCAGTCTCGAACATGAATGAGCCACTGAATCGTAGCCGACTCATGTCCACCTCGTCACGCAACTGGGAAACAAGTCCTTGCTGAACGACCCCGGTAGAAAATCTGAGGACCAGCGCTCCAGCCTTACATTGGGTTACCCTCACCCGGCCTGGCAACCGCACTTCACAGCGTTTCCTTTACATCATGCAGTGTTGCCCTGCTCTGTTCGACAGCTGACCCAGAGGCACGGTCAGAGCTGAACCAGGTGGTTGGACAGGCTGCACCTCGATACGAGGCTTCACATCCAAATGGTTTAAACAAACAACTGCACACCGGCTCCGACGCAAGACGCACGTTGGTCACACTGTTGCTACCATGGTAGCATGACTGCTCTGGACTCCCAACACATGTCGAAGCTCACCGAAACGGACAAACTAGATGCTGTCTGGAAGCCGCGAACGTTAGGTCGGCAGTGGCATTCTCCAGATAGAAGCCTTGCACTACGTCAACAACTGTTGAAATGCTTCGTAATTTTAAACACCGGCGCCCATCTCCCAGTTCCAGAAAGCTCCACAAAATATTGACACACTGCGGTGAACCAAAACACCGGTGGCTGATGACTTGCTTAACGGGAAGCCAGCGTAAGGCACAGCTGTCATGCACACGGTGTCGATGGTCGAGCCGAGACTGGAACAAGTCTAGGATGATGCGCAGATACGGACCCATGACCAGTGACTACTTGTGGCAGCCGTGAGGTAAGACGGTGGGAACGGCTTGAAATATACTCCGACCAATGCAATGATAGTCAACTTCACATCGACACTCTAGGTCTAACATGACTCAGGTCGAACAGGCATGTTCCTTTCGTGTTCCTCGATGTGACTCAGGCAACTTGCTGAAACACTGAGACCTGCGCTGGTCGCAAGACTGCCGCCGCTAGCTAAAATGATGCAGTGCAGGCTGGCTTTGACCTGTGGTTCGTTCATGCGCTTCACATGCAAACCAAGCTGTCCAGAGCCACTACACAATGCCAATCCAACAACGTAGCGTATGCCATCAAATGCGGGAAGACTTGCTTACTGGCTTCGTGCCTGTAGCCGCAAAGCTGTGGAAATAGCGCTTGTCAAATCAGTTGCCTGCAACAAGCAGGTTTGGATCCTTCCTGTGTGTGGCTTGCAGCAATCGTGCAGCACAAGGATGCTGCACCTTCACATCGCTGATCCTCACCACGACAAGGATGTGAATGATCTACGACACCCTGCTGCAACATGCGCCGCTGGTCCTCGTCTGGCTGCAATTGCCACCAGCTAATTGCAAAGGATTGCTGAAGGGATTGGCTCCAGGGTCTGGGACCTGTACGCAATGCACCAATACCTTTGCAGCAACCAACATGTTGCCAACCTCAATCTCCAGTTGATAAAGCCATTCAGGAAAAGATATTCCTGACGAGAAGCCACCTTGCTCGAACAGTCAACAAACGTTCCAAGCAGCATATGCGCATGATAGGGAAAATCAATGAGAATCAGTGGCTGTTTAGGCTGCTGCTCGATTCGTCTGTCCTTATGGAAACCTGCGACACGCATGGTGCCAAGATCAACGAAGCCAACCTCAGGAAGATCCATGTTGTTGAGGCTATCGACTAATTGCCGGAAACACTGCAACACTTTGCAGTACCAGGAGCAGCAAGGAGCGCGCTAGACGGAGTGCATTTAGCATACTCCTGTTCTTGAGCCTGAATGCCACGAAAAGATTCGAAACATGCAGCCGCCTTCCTCACCAAGCGAGCGAAACGAGCTTTTCCCGCAATGCGCCGAAGATGCTTCTCTTGCTCTAAGGGCTGAGCTGTGCCAGATTCCGCATCCACATAGATGCTGTCCCGCATATGAGCAAAGTCCTGGTGAAACCAACAAATCGAATCTTGCAACACGACAACCCCACACGCACACACAAGTCTTGCGCATGGGTCCTCACGACCATTCAATGGACGGACACGAACAAAAACGCGAATCTGCAGGCAAAACAAACAGAATCGCGCGTGACGGAACTGTGCTTCGACGCGGGCACACCGTGTCTCCACGACCATCTGGCGAGGAGGATCCCGGCGAAGCTGGTGAAAGCCCCGGGTCCACTGAATCTACGAACACGGCATCCTGAAAGATACGAGAAAGTGGGCAACATCATTCCGTCAAAACACAATGTGCAGCGTAGGCTGAATCAACTGCAGCTTCAAGCATGCCTCAACATCTGCATCGGCGTCTTCCTCCTGCAACACTGCTCACCCCTGAACAGCAGATCAATGCCTGAGTTGCATCGCCTCCGACATGCCGCTCCATCTGTGAAGGCCTATGAGCTACTCATGAGGCCAGCACAATACCACTTGTAGACACGACGACTATGATATACTATGATGTTGGAGATAAACACCTACAAATTGCAAAGGATATTCGAATTCGCTCCCGAAACATAATGCTATTGCAGAATCAAGTTTGATCGTTGGCATACAGCAACATCCACCTTCTGCAACTGATTGCAACGTCTACAACTGTCTTCCAAGTTAAACAACTTTGTACTCTCCCTGCAATGATGGACATGGGTCATGGACATCATGAAATGCTTCTGAGCTTCTGTCTCGCAAAGCAAATGTTTGCAGGGTGTTCAACTGCGCAGCTGTCTTCCGAAAGCGTCTTCTTTCCTCATTACTGTTCCAGCTTGCCAGTGCTTGCTGAGGCAATGACACTTTTTGCCGGAATGCGGACTTGTAAGCTTTCATGAAAAGTCACTAAACCAAAGTCGCAAAACGAGCGCAAACACACGTGCTTGACATCTCCAGCAAGGAAAACAAAAGGACTGACAACGACACGTCCTCAAATGCTCTCTTCCGTGTTCAAAGTACAGTAGTAGGACAGCAGTAATACAATTTTAGTACTGGAAAGGCCTCCACGTCCCGTCCCGGGCGGGAAAAATTGAAACTGAAAATTGTAACTTGACCCGTCAACATGTCAAAAAGGGGCCCGTCAACGGCAAAGGCGTGCTAAGCAGGCCCGTGAAGAAGCTAAACCAGTCCATGGCAGGTCCGCCACGAAACCGCTTTATGGGGGGTTTTTGCGAAGAAATAAAAGAAAGAAAAGACAAAGAAAAAGATTGTCAATGAGGAGTCCTTCTTCTCAAGGGGCTTGAGAAGGGGCTTGAAGTCCCCTTCGAGAACGCTGCCAAACTATTGTATGGCAGAAGCACGACTACGACGAGTACTACCAGAAGGACCACTATTGCTGCGACGACTACTGCTACTACTACTACTACTACTACTACTACTACCAGGACTACTAGGACTACTACTACTACTACTACTACTACGACTAATACTACTACTACTACTACTACTACTACTACTACTACTACT